ATAATGCTTTAGAAGATAGTTTTCTCCTTTGGGTTATGGAAAATCCTTTCCTTTTGTTGGAAAGGGAGTTATGCTTTTTATTTTTATTATTTTTTTGCACTAGATAAAATAATTTGTAGTAGTCTGATTTCTTATACTCAGGATAATTTTTAGTAGCTAGGAAAACTTTTTCTTTCTGCTGAACTTGGTAAATTTTGATAAAGTGCTAAAATAATTTACCCTGATATTTATTTGTAATTTATTAGTATAGCTATTGTTTTGTTGTAGGCTGCAGTGATTAGACATGCTTTTTAACCCTTCTAAGCTTCTGTTTTCTTCCTTATAAAAATTGGGACTTACGAGGAGTTGTGAGAATTTAATGCAGTCCTGTATGTAAAGTACATGACAAGCCACTTGCTAGTATTACATTATTAATGTGCTTTTTTTCAAATGATTGACTTAAAAGAATAGAGTAGAATCCTGTGATCCAGAGGGGTACAGATGTCACTCAGATGAAAGAAAGAAGAGACTAGGTTCCTTGAGGAAGGTTCTGCAATTCCATGATTTGCTCCAAACAGAGAAAGTAATACTAGTTTTCATTTGGGGAGTGAATTGGTCAGATCATTTCTAAAAGTGATTTTCCCTAACTCAGAATTCTTCAAGAAGTAAAGTCAGGAGAGGAAGGTGTATGCTCATTTTTTCCTGGACCATCCAGCTGTTCAGGGAAAGCTTGGTAGTTTGTTGTAGTTATTTAATATGTTAATGTCTCCATTTGCATAGGCTGTTCAGGAGCTCTTCATCACTGCCAACCAGGGTCTCTTTTTTGGTAGTATCTGTTTGTTCCCCCTGCAAGCCAGGAATGTGTGAGTGAGCTGGAGGATTTGAATCACCTCCTTGCGGCTGAGGGAGAAGTCAGAACAGGCAAGTTTGTGACACACCACACTCCTTGAGTTGCCACTCTATTCCAGCTATTTTGAGAAGATAAGATTTAGACATATATACCAAATGCAGGCATTTTCTCTGACACTATTAAAAACTAATTGTTTAACTACTTTCAACATTTTTTTTAAAGAAGTTCTAGTGTGGCTTTTCTCATGCTTGGTTTAAGACCAAACAGTTCTGAGTTTAGATTAAGGGAAGAGGGACCTGCCTCCTGCTTCTTGTAAAAGTCCTTATGACTGATATGGGATGCTGAGTTGACTTTTTTCTTTTGGCACTTTATTTTATTTTTGAGACAGGGGCTTGCCATGAGTTCAGGCTGGCCCTGAATTTGCAGTAATCCTTCTACCTTAGACTCTTGAATGCTGGGATTACAAGTGTGTGCAAATACATTGGCTTTTTTTTGGTCTTTTGGCACTTTAAAGATGTCACTGTATTGTGTAGCTTTTATATTTTTTCATGAGAAGCCTGCTGGTCTTCTGTATGCAACAAGTCTCTGTCTCTGGCTGCCTTAAAAAATTTTCAGGAATTTGTAGGTGTGTGTGTGTGTGTGTGTGTGTGTGTGCGTGCGTGTGTGTGCACACGCTGCTTGTATTCTCTGAAAGATGTAGTTTAATACCTTTTATTTTTGGAAAATTCTAAACTTATTTCTTCAAATGTTTCTTCTACCCTGTTTTTCTCTCTCATGCTTTCTCTTCCTTGTGGAATTCCAATTACATATATATTGGATCATTCATTACCACTCTGCAGTTCTTGGATGCTGTATTTGTTTTCTCTTTATGTTTCAATTTGAGTAAGTTTTACTAAGTGACTTGACTTGAAGTTCACTGTTTCTTTCTTTAGCTGTGCTGAGTGTACTGATGTAGGTTTTTTTTTTTTAATCTGTAAACATTTTTATTTCTAGCGTTTTCATTCAACATGGTTTTCATTTTTTTGCTCTAGGTTTGTATGTATTCATTCATCTTATCTGTATGTTATCCCAGAGCCTTTAACACAGTAATCTCAGTTACTTTAAATTCCTTTTCTGATAGTTCCAGTATTCAGGTCATCTGAGCCTGGCTCTGTTGATTACCTTATCTCTTGACAGTGAATTATTTTTTTATGCTTTTACCTGAATTTTTAAATTGAAAACTGGATATTGTGTACAGAAACAGTAGAGAAGAGGCATGTTGTTAATGTTTGGTATGGCGTATTTCTCTTGTTAACTGTTAGTTTCGGAGTTGAGTCAGTCTAGTGAGAAATTGAGCTGGCTTTAGGTTTGTTGTTGCTCTCATTATCTTTGTTTATGACTGGCTTCAGACTTCTCATGCATAAACTTTTGCTGCAGGGTTTTCTAAATATTCTGTGTTCTTCCTCTGTCCTCTGCTTTTAGTGTGCTCTGTGCTTGGGTCTCAGAGGGTGTCTGTCCCTGTGCTTTTGTTCCCTCCCTGCAGTAGCCTCCTGGTGCTTCATAGCTTGGTTGAGGTTGGTTGGGGTTTTGTGCTGTCAGGTCCAGCTGGAGTGTTAGGCAGGCCTTTTCTCCCTTGGGCCTTGGAGGGGGTATTTTCTCAGTGATTCCATCCTTTCTGTTACTGTGAGAGACTGCTATCATTCTGGGCCTTGGGTGTTTCTTGACTGTCCCCCTAGGCTCACAATTATTTTCTTTCCCTTTCCTTGGCCATAGTGAACCTTCTGTGCTCTGGGGTTGACGGAATTTGCCGCCTGCTCCCCTTTTTCCAGTGGCCTTCAGTTTGGTTCCACTGGGCGTAAGGGTTCAAATGGGCTTTGTGCCCTGTGTTCCCACGTAGAAGCAGTCACACCTCTCTTCTAGGCCTGTCCTTTTGTTCATTTCCCACTCAGCTCCATCTAGTGGAGATCTGTGGAGGGGCCCAGGTGAGTGAGTGTGAACTCTTGGTTCATGGCTTCTGGGGTCTTTGTACTGATCCTCCAGTTTGTGGAAAGGTTTGATTGAATTCAATTTCCTGTCTTGTGTGGTGCTTGTTGTCCTTTTTTTCCTGTGATCTTTCACAAGTGATCCAATGCTTGTTGCCTGTTCTTCCAGGAGATGCCCATCTTTCCCTAGGATTTAAGTTGTGTGGTTATTTGGAAGCCTCACCTTGCTGATTTCGTGGATTAAGTGGCTTTATCTGACTGTTAGAGTAAAGCAATATTCCTTCATGCAGTTCTCACCTTAGCTTGGTCTCCATGTGTTTCCTGGTGTGTTTTTCAAAGCTGAAATTGGTCTGTTTACATCATGGATGTCCATTCTTTTGTCTTACCTGGGCTTCACTGAGTGAAGAGGAATTATCTTGGGCCACTTAACACAGAATATAATATAGTTAATGTATATAAGTAACCAAACTTCCTTTATTTTTAATGTTTTTTTGATCATAACAAGAAAGAAGGCAGCACCAACATAAAACTAGTGAGAGATTTGACCTCATTTTTGTGAAACTAATATAGCAATATCTGGTTTGATGGAAGTGGTTGCAGTTCTTAGAGAGTTCTCAAGGTGCTCATAGGAAATTTTAGAACTAGTTTTACTCTTCATGTGCCTTGTTGTTGGTTCACAAATGTACATTCTGTCAAAAAGCCATGAAGTGAATGAGGTGTGTCTGTGAAGTGAGGGATATTTTCCTCTGGGAAGATACGTCTTATAAAAGTCCAGTATGGTCTGTGCTCGAGCACTGCACACAACTTAGTCATAAAAAATACTGCTAAAAATCACATGATGCTGTTAGAAGTTTAGGTCTTGAACTGTTTTACTAAAGTCCAGGGCTGCATGTGGCCTATGAGCCCTGGTTTAGATACACCTGGTTTAGATATATGTAAAAAATACTGGTAGAATCATTTGATTGAATTTTGTTAGGTCCTGTGCATATAGAGCTAAATTTTACTGCTAGTACAATATTGTAAAAATAGATTAGTGACTGTTTCATTCTCAAGGAATATAGATTTAGTTCTATATACTTTGTTGCTAGCATTGAGTGAGAATAAAAAGTACTGCTTCTACAAATACAAATAGCATTACCTCAAATTTATTATTTACTGTGTGGCAGATCTTATGCCAAGTGCTTTAATGCAGTTTGTCTCTGGTGAATTTTACCCCTTTTGGAGGAGACAGCTCATTGTTGGTGACCCTAGGGTGGCACCTCAGCATAGCTCCTGTGTCCTGCTGAGCTCCTAATGGCAGCATATAGTTGTTGGTGACACTTAGACACAAGATAGATACTCACTGGGTTTGAGAAACTTAATTCTTGCTGGGCCTCAGTCCTTTCACACACTCAGGGATGATGTTACCGTCCAGGAAGAGTTTATATTACAGAACAAGTGATGCCCTAATAAACACATTTACCCATACCCAGCACCTTCCTGGTTCTCAAGTCATACTAGTGTGTGAGGAGGAAGCAACTCAGGGACCCTCTTGATCACTTTCTGCCTATAGCTTCCTAGTATTTCAAAAGGCCAGTTTTCCCACATCTCTGTTTTCTTCTTCTTCTTCTTTTTTTTTTCTGTTTTCTTCTTTGCTCTTTACAGTAGTCTTATGGTGCAGAGACTATCTGTGTCAGATAGCAGAAATTGAAGATTAGAAATATTAAGTAATTTGCTCTGTGTCTCACAGCTTTATAAGAGAGCAACAACAGGCTTCAAACCAGTTGCCCTGTAGTGTGCTTCACCTTGCAGTAACAGCAGCCCCATTTGAATCTATACTTGAAAACCTCACATTAAAGGATCATATTTCAAAATTGGTGGTGCATACTGTATTGAGCTTATTTTAGCTTGAACAGAAAATACTGTCTTCAGTGAAACATTTGTATTCAGAAACATAGACAGGAATAAGTTTCACAAGGCTTTGGATTTTGCCTTATATTGGGGAACCTTAAATGCCCTGAACTAAGAACTAAAAAACTAGACTTGAGCCTAACCAATGGGTCCTTCTGCTTTCCCCAGCATCTGCTTCCCTTTTCGTTCAGGTCTAAAACCAGCTTTTCTTTAGACTCAGATAAGTGAACACCTGGACTGTCTTTAGTAGTGGAGCACTAGAAATACTGTCGGTATAATGGTGCAAAGTGCAGCCTGTCCTTTGGGCTTTTCTGAGACTGATGGGAAACTCTGAAATTCTTCCTATTTATGGAATTTCAAACTTTGTCAACAAAAATGTAGGTGAAAACTGTGAGTGGTAGAAATGAGAGGAAGAGTCGGTTTGTTGATTAAATGTGGAGTGTGATTTGTTAACCTGGTTGGTTGGTCAGCTTTTCTGTTCGATCCTGAGAATGAGCTACTTTTGGGACACAGGTTTTCTTTCTTTCTTTCTGTTGGTAGTTCAACCAGAGGTACAAGTGAGAAAAATGTGTGTGATTTAGTGATTCACCATCACTGTTAGAAAGCCGTCTCAAAAATCATGTGTTACTAATAGTGTAACATTGGTATTGTATGTTTTGAGAGTAGCATTTAACATAGAGAGCCTAGTTAAAAGTGTTAGTGTTATATGGTGTTTATTAACCTCAGGTGATTTAGTGGAAATACTTTTTCTTTTTCAAAACCAATGAGATGGAAACCCAGTCGAGTTAAATTCAAAGAATTTTCAAGTTGCCTAAATATTTTGTGGTTTCTTTTTTCAAGCTCCCGATTGAAGACTCATGCAGCTTAACTTCCCATTCGCTGCCTATTGACCTGACTTCAATAGTGCCTGAATCTACAGAAGACATTCTCTTGAAGGGTTTTGCTTCCTTAGGAATGGAAGAAGAAAGAATTGAGACTGCACAGCAGGTGAATTGCAATATCTTTTCTAAGGATATTAGATTACTGTAGATGTCTCAGGATAGGCTAATAAAAAGGTTCTAATGAATAGGTGGATATAATTGACAATGTGAAATAGGAAGAAAAGGGCTAAAGGTGTAGGGGAAGTGGGAAGGGTAGGGAAAAGGAAATAAGGGAAAAGAAAAAATATGAGAAAAAGAAAAAGTGGAAAAGAAGTGTTTGTAAAGGGGGAGGGAGGGGTGAAGGGAGGGCAGGGACAAGGGGAAAAAATGAGAACCAAGACCTGTCATGTAAAGGTACAAGATCCCAATGATGAATGTAACTGTGTTGTATACCTAAAATGTACCAATAAACTCAATGTGAAAAAAACCATTAAAAAAAAACCGTGTGAACATATAACACCATAGTGATTATCAGTCAGATCTTTCTAGAACATTCTTGATTTTCTGTTAGTTGGAGCAATTAAGTATTTTCTTTTCTTTTCTTGATACTTGAAATTGAACCCAGGGCCTTTTCACTGAGATATATCTCTGCCCTTTTAAAATTAAAAAAAAATTTTTTTTTGAGATAAGATCTTGCTGAGTTGCCTGGGTTTGGCTAAAACTTGGAATCCTCCCGCACAGCCTCCTGGAGTACTGGGATTACAGACAGATGATATAGTTTAGCTCCATCTGTTTTTAAATAATAGATATTTTTCATAATGTTGGTAGTAGGGCCAGGATTCAAACTAATGGTTTAGGTTATGCCAAAGCCCATCTTTTAAAACTATATAATCTTATTTTCAAGTTTTTATTCTCAAATTTCTTACTAGATAACATTAATATTGACATTTACTTGAGGCTCTGTGCTAACTATTCAGATTTGGCAAACTAGGAAGTGAGTATTAGGAAGAAATGTTTATTTATTTTTTAATTGTGTCTCCAATACTCCTTTTACTGAACTTTCAAAATGGCTGATGTTTTTTAAAATCCTTTGTTTTTCTTAGCATGTAAATATTGCACATATAAAATTATCTTCTTCTGGTGTTTCAGTTACTTTCTTGTCATTGAGAAATAGTACTCACAATTTAAAGGAGAAATGTTTATTTTGTTTTTTTTTTAAATTGAGTTTATTGGTACATTTTAGGTATACAGTACAGTATAGTTACATTCATTGTTGGGATCTTGTACCTTTACATGACAGGTCTTGGTTCTCATTTTTTCCCCTTGTCCCTGCCCTCCCTTCACCCCCTCCTGCCTCCCCATTTACAAACACTTTATTTCCATTTTTTCATTTTCTCATATTTTTTTCTTATCCCTTATTATCGTTCCCCTACCCTTCCCACTCTCCCTACACCTTTAGTCCTTTTCTTCCTATTTCACATTGTCATTTATCTCATTAGGATCTTATGTACTATTATAGTTTGATAAAGTGTTTATTTTGGCTCACAGTTTGTAGAGGTTTCATTCATGATTGGCTGGTTCCAAGGCAGGTCAGCATGGCACAGGAGAAACAGCTCATGGTGTGGCAGTGGGAAGCAGAGATCAAGGAGGGGGCAGGAGATAGACCCTTCCAGGCCACATTCCCAGTGATTACCTCCTCCTACCAGGCTTCACCTCCCAACATCACATTGAGCTACAGACTCATCAATGGACTAATCCACTGATGAGTATCATTCGCCCATGATCCAGTCACCTTCTAAGAGCCGCACCTATGAGCATATGAGGCTTTGGGGCACATCTAGATATAAATCATAACGCCTGGCTTAAGGCTAATTATTTATGACTGAGCCTTAAACAATAAGACTAAGGTAGTGTCTACCCCTTTGTCTTATAGTTTAGCATGTATTCATGTTTTATTTTATCTTTTTTAGTTTAGTCAACAATATAATATTCTTTATTTTTTCAGTTTTTTTCATGGTTTGCAAAGCTGCAAACTCAGATGGATCAGGATGAAGGAACAAAATATAGGTATGTCAGATTCTTATATTTGTTGGATATTGTAATTTTTAGATCACAATCACCTCATATATTTCATATTCTCTGTCTTTAAACACATAAAGGTGTAGAGAAGATGCCAGCATGCACATTTTGTTTAAAAATAGCCAGAGAGAGGATTTGGGTCATTATAACTGGTATTAGAACTAGTGTGATTGAAAAAAAAGGTATCTCTGGAAAGCACCGGGTTAAAGTAATTGTACATGAACTTTAAGAGGTATTTGTTGCCTTCCTAGATAAGGAGAAACATTCACAGACATTAAGGATGGCTACCTTGATCGGGTTTAACTGTCTAGTTCTGGTTGTATATGCTCTTAGCTTGGGGAGACATAGTAATGTACAGATTCTAGCCATTTCAGGATTGTGGGTTGGTATTCATATTCAGTTAACATTTATTGACAGCTGTTATTACTGGGAAGCCTGTTAGGCTTTTTGATGTAATATCCCATTTAATCCTCATAGCAGCTGTGTGAGCCAAGATAATTATTATTTCTGTTTTACAAAAGAGTAAGCTGAGGCCTATAAATATTTAGTAAATTGCTCAATATCATACAGACTTAAGTAGAGCTGGGACTTGGACGCATGGCTTCCAGTTCCCAATCTGTAATTCTCCACAGCATCACACCATCTCTCAAAGGTGGCAGTGACCTGACAGAACTGACCAACCATGGATTGGCTTGGGATCTCACTCTTTGATAGTTGAGCCTTTACCTTATGTGTGAAAAGCCAGGTTAAAGTTAACTTTGTTGTTTCTTATAGTATCAGTGAATTGTCTTCTTAAGTATTGGGACATTTTATGACATAGCTTTTGCTATATTTCTGAGTATAATCAGTTTTGCTAATAGGTCAGACTTTCCTCCTGAAATTCAAGCTTGTGTGAAAAATGAGACTTTCTTGTTAAGTGAGTGTGCTTATTGGGGGAAAATATTTCCAATCCCTTTTGGTTCTGTTTTCTAGACAGATGAGGGATTACTTGTCTGGGTTTCAGGAGCAGTGTGATGCTATATTGAATGATGTAAACAGTGCTCTTCAGCATTTGGAGTCGTTGCAGAACCAGTATCTATTTGTGTCTAATAAGACAGGAACCCTCCATGAAGCCTGTGAGCAGCTCCTAAAAGAACAGGTAATTTGGAGTAGGAGGGAGGATGGGTCAGTGATTATAGTTAATATTTTATTTTAATGAATGCAGCTGCATTTTAATTCCTTAATCTCTTACATGTTGAACACTGCTCTGGATGAGGCCTTGTGCTAAGAATGCAGGGCAGCCTGCTTTTCAAATGAGGTCATGTGAAGAGGGACAGACAAGCACTCCTATGTTGTGAGTGTTAGGTCTCAGTGTAGTGTCAGAATCAGTGGATCTGTTATCTTGTTCTGTCCATTCTTATTAACATTTCACGAACAAGCAATTGAACTGATTGAAGTTGCACTGAAACTGGTGTCTTAGAAGTAAAATATTGAAAACTCAGCATGTCTCAGAATTTTCTCTGTATGTATTTTATGTGTTTTTGAAGGCAGTCATTTATTATTTTATAAATCATGAAATTTACTCTTAAGTATTACCTCTTTTAATTCATGACCACAGAAATATTTGACTATTGGGAAATCTGTAAACCTACATGTCTTATATAAATCTGTTGATAATCTGGAGACTGGAGTGTTAATTCTCATATTCTTATAGTAATTGATTTTTCTCTTTTAAAAATGCAAGTCGGAACTTGTTGATCTGGCTGAAAATATTCAACAAAAGCTTTCTTATTTTAATGAATTGGAAACTATTAATACAGTAAGTGCTTTTTACTTTTTTTGTAGTCAGTGATTTTTATATTCCCTCAGTATAATCCTCAAATTTAGAAATTAGCTTGAGTTATACTGTTACTTAAATGTATAGCGGGGCGTGGTGGCGCATGCCTGTAATCCCAGCGCTTGGGAGGCTGAGGCAGAAGGATTGCTGTGAGTTCGAGACCAGCCTGGGCTACATGGTGAGTTCCAGGTCAGTCTCAACTACATAGTGAGACCCTGCCTCAAAAAAAAAAAAAAAAGCTTGTTTACTAAGAGATATTCCTGTTTGTAACATGTGGAGATATTGTTACCAGTTGAGTTTTTAAAATATAGTTTAAATAATGTTTCTTAAATTTGTTGTTATTAAAGTCTTTTGATTTGTTGCCTCTTCTACCTTATCTTCAAACTATGAAGAAAATTGTAAGAAAAAATACTCAATTTTAAATCTTGCTGTGATTGTGCTAGTGAAAACATTTTTTGAACAAACTTCCATGTTTAGTTTGAAGACATGTAAAGTCTTATAATGTATACTTGTATCCTAAATAATAGTCCCCATAAAAACTGTTGTGTAAGTTATATTTCTGTTTCTGATTTATAAATTATAAATAAACCATGTTATTAAATTATTAAAATAAATATTACAGTTTAATAAAGGCATAGAAATAAAGCTAATAGCACAGAAGTGAAACCATGGAATGCAATGGAAATTAGTTTATTGCCAAGCTATTTGTATATCAAGTTATAAAATGATTGGCTAGTAATGTTTTACTTTTATAATACGACTGCTAAGAAACAACATAAGAAAATTGCCAGTGTTTGAAAGTGGAAAAATTTTATATGTTATAAAGTACTAGAAAGTGGGAAATGTAGGTACTTGATATAGTATTTCAATATAACATTGTGCAGTAGTACAGTAAAAATATTTGCTAATTCATGCAGAGCTCCATTAAAGCTTAGTAGGAATAAATTGATTTGAATCAGTATTCTTTTCTATTTGTTTCTTCTTTATTGTTGTCCATGGACTGTATTTGAGGATATTTTGATGACTTAAAATATACTGTCAACATCTTAGTACACTGTACTTTAACTTTTTTTTAAAATTCTAATTAGTAATATTAAACTTGTACCTGTATTTTGTTTTTATCACTTAACTAATTTTTTTTCTTTTTGGTCCTTTTGAAGAAATTGAATTCTCCTACTTTGTCTGTAAATAGTGAAGGATTTATACCTATGCTGGCCAAGTTAGATGACTGTATAACCTATATTTCATCTCATGTAAGTAATGGTATTTGTGTATGTTTCAGAGAAATCTTAACATTACCATTGTATTACTTTCTGTGTGCTACAATAATTATTTCTGCTGAAAGGAAAAATAATGTCAGCCCTCTATCCACAGGTTCTGTATCTATGGATTCCATGAACTGCAAATCATAAAGACTCAGGAGAAAACACTGCATCTGTACTCACCATGTACAGACTTTTTTGCTTGTCATTCCCTAAACAGTAGTGTGACAACTATTTACATAGCATTTGTATTGAATTGGGTTTTGTTTTTTAATTAATTAATTTTTTTTTGGTACCAGCTATCAAACTCAGGACTTTGCACTTTCAAGGCAGGCGGCGGAACCACTGAGCTAAATCCCCGGCCCTGAGTTGCATTTTATAAGTAATCTAGAAATACATTAAAGTAGATGAGATGTTGAATATAGATTATATGAAAACACTATGCCATTTTATATAAGGAACTTGTGCATCCATGGGTTTTTTTTTTTTATATTCTTGGGGGTCTTAGAGACAATTCTTTATGGATCCTAAGGGATGACTGTATGTATTTACAACATATTGAAGAAAAAGTAGTTAATTCTTCATTGTTATCATTAGTAGTATAAAAAGTACAGTACTTTTAGCTCCTGAGGCTGCCCCTAGTATAGAATTACTCTTGGCTGACTCATCTTTATTTTACTTGAAAGGATGAATCATTTTAAGTTGTTGATACCCTGGTGTGCAAGAAACTTCCTTGGAAATGGAAAATATTACTTGGGGGAATTAAAGCGACAAGCTCTTTGGAGGCCCCCCCCCCCGCATCATCCTGATGATTTATCTGAGGCCCTTTGCACTGAGCTACCTTCCCAGCGCTTTTTTATTTTTTGTTCTGAAAGGGTAGGTGTGAACTTGGTGATCTTTTAGCCTCAGCTTCCCAGAGAGCTGGGCTTATAGGCATGGTGACGCTTTTTGGTTTAATAATTCTGTCTCCAAGGATTTCTCTGTTCTTTCTCTAGTTGGACTTCACATATTAGTCTCATAGTCCAAGTGCTGAAAACTGCAGCTATTGAACCCCTTACTTTGTGCCAGGTATAGGGGATGATTTGGCTGTGACGAAGTGAGTCATAGTATTTATCTTCATGGAGCTCCTAAACTACATAAAATTTTTTTTTAAATGTTTGAACTTCATATATTGCTTTACCTAAAGGACACTTAGGTTTTTATTAAAATCTAGCTTTTTGTTAGTGTTTGTTTTTTCTTTGTAAATCTTTCTCTTTGTTTTACAGCCTAATTTTAAAGATTATCCTGTATACTTATTGAAGTTTAAACAGTGTCTTTCTAAAGCATTGCACCTCATGAAGACATACACTGTGAATACACTACAGACTCTCACAAATCAGTTACTTAAAAGGGTGAGTTAACTGATTCAACAACGTCTTTATTTTTGGTTCATTTATTGTCCATAATCTTTATCTAAGATTAATACTTTGTAATTGTTCTGAAGTTTTACTTTTTATTAATGGAGTTTTATTTATTTATTTAATTATTGTTTTTTTTGGTACTGGGGATCAAACTCAGGTCCTTGGGTTTGCAAGGCATGCGCTGGAACCACTGAGCTAAATCCCAGGCCCTAGGAGTTTTATTTGTAACAGGAGAAATGTCCTTATAAGACATGTCCCTTACAGTCTTATTTTCACATAATATTTAGCAGTATGAGTAGTATCTGGTAATATATGATAAATAATCAAATGAGCACATGCTTATAATCTCAGCACTCTAGAGGCTGAAGCAAGAGGATTGCTGCAAGGTCGAGGCCAGCCTGGACTCCATAGTGAGTTCAAGGCCAGCTGAAAAAAAAAATACAAAGTGTTTGTCATTTAAAACATTTCTATTTTATGAAAGTATTGGAAAAATACCAAAATGATGCAAGTGGTTCAGTCTGATAGATTATTTATTTATTAATTATCATTATTTTTTCTGGTGCTGGAGATTGAACCCAGGGCCATGTACATGCAAGAGGAGGGCTCTACCTCTGAATTACACTCCTTTCATTCTTTCTTTTTTTTTTTTTTTGTGGTACTGGGGATCAAACTCAGGACCTTGCACTTGCGAGGCAGGTGTGGTACCGTTGAGCTAAATCCCCAGCCCATACGCATGCCTATCCTAAATTTTCTTCTTAGCCTTTTTTTTTTTTTGGTGGTTTTTATATTTAGCAAACATTTTTATTGTGCATCTCCCTAATGTTTTAAATTGAAATAGGAAATGCATAGCAGCAAAAAGGAGATAGCTAAGTTCCTGTCCTCATGGTGCTTATATTCAGGAGAAATGATGAGTTAAAAAAGGAAACAAAGTAGCTACAGATTGTAGTAAGTGCTAGGTAGAAAGTTAGTAGGATGTTAGGTTAGGAAATAAGAGTAGAGCTAGCTGCGGTGGTCATTGAGTATATTTCTTTCCTATGAAAGTAGAACAAAATGGTTATTTATATTTTGCTTTTTAAGCTTACTTTCTGAAAAATGTGGAATGTCTTCTTGAACTTTTATTCAAAGCTAGTGATTTTTGAGTTGTGTTTTACTCTTTGTGTTGCTTCTAGCTGATGTAATAGCCAAAGTATTTTTTTAATATTTTGCAGAATTTTCAGTAACCTTAGGAGACTAATTTTTTTTTTTTTTTATTGAGTTTATTGGTACATTTAGGGATACAGTACAGTTACATTCATTGTTGGGATCATGTACCTTTACATGGCAAGTCTTGATTCTCATTTTTTTCCCCTTACCTCTGCCCTCCCTTCACCCCCTCCTCCCCTCCCCATCTACAAACACTTTA